TAGAATCCTTCCAGAACTGCTTTTTCTGTAGGTCTCTAGGGAATGAGGGGAGAGGCGGGGGGTGGTGGGTTGGGATAGAGTGGAATGCCTCAACAGCGTGGGGGTACCTTGTCTGCCCTGTGCCCCATTGTTGTGTGGATCCCATGCCTCACCTCCAATTTTGTACCCAGGTTCTCTGTTCAGAAGCCCACATATCTGGAGCGTGGGTGATAGCCCAGTTCAGTACCTGCATATATGATGCCTTTTGCATGCTAATCCTGTGCCTGGACACTTGGTTTTTGATTACCCAGTGAGGGTCATTCACCTCAGTGAGGGCTCCCTTGCGTCTTCCCTCTGTAGCAGGCACGGGGACCTGGTCAGCCTCCATCTGCATATGCTTTTTGAACACAAGCTATTTGTGCACAAGCTTACCAGCTGGCCTTTGTCTATTTGCAGGTGTCTTCATGGAGTCCCTATCTTCTAATGGCACCGAGTTTTTGATTCCCCAGTGCCATTTGCTCACCTCCGTGGTGGTTCCCGCACGTGTCCCCACATTACCTGTTCACGGGGTGTATTGAGTGCAGTAGGTCCTTTCCGCTCACTATCCTGCTTGATCTCCAATTTGTTCTTGTTTTTTTTCCTCCTTTCTGTTTGTCGAAGTGTGCCTGCTTTGTGGGTGGAGGGGGTAGCAGGGTTCTGATCTCATTGAGATTTTATTGGAATTGAATTGAATCTGTAAATTGGTTTTGGTAGGATGACCATTTTTATGATGTCAATTCTTCCAATTCATGAGGAGAGAGTATCTTTCCATTTCTTTGTGTCTTCTATTTCTTTTACCAGTGTTTTGTAGTTTTCCTTGTATAGATTTTTCACCACCTTTGTTAGCTTTATTTCTAGGTATTTAATTTTTGTGGGAACATTGTAAATTTGATGATTTTCTTAATTTCTTCCTCTTGAGATTGAATGTTTGCATACAGGAAGGCTACTAATTTTTGTATATTGATTTTGTAATTTGGTACTTTACTAAACACATATATTGTTTTAGTTTTTCTGTGGATTTTTAAAGGACTCTCTCTATATAATAACATATTATCTGCATATGATGATAGTTTCACTTCTTTTCCCATTTGGATTCCTTTCATGTCTCTGTCTTACCTGATTGCCTTTGATATCATCCCATATTTCTTGACTCTTAATTAAATTTCCCAAATCACCCTTTTTTTGCTCTGTTTGGGAAATTTTGTATGGACAAATATTAATGGTGGTTGATTATTTTCTCAGTTGTTGAGTTGACTTATTATCCCATCAAAGTCTTCTTTATTTCTATTATTTTTTTTCAAATAAAAAATTTTATCTCTCCTTCTCTTCATAGTGTACATTCCATTCCTCTCACTAGTGACAATGATTTATTTCATCTTTGTTCAACCGTGCATTATAATATTTTTCACTTGAAGCATTTTTTAAAAAGTGGAGCTCATGTTGATTTATATCTTCCATCTGTTTACTTGCAGTGATATCATGGTTTTATTGTGTAATATTTCAATTGGATTCATGAGCATAGTATTTGTGGTTGCTTTGATTTCTTCTGTGATAAATGCAAATATGTATACTCTCTGCCTCTGCTTCTATTGCTAATGACCACCTTTGTAATTTTCTGTTAAATGAGAGACATGATTTGTTGGTAATAGAGACTGAGCTAAGACTTTTATTGTGATATATTGTGTAATCTGCAAGACATTCAGCTGGGTTTTAAGATTCCATAGTTCTTGCTGCCCCCAAGTTCAAACACATGTAGTGCCCAAGCATGTGTCCCTGCTTCTTTTTGTTTCTATAGGAACTTGTCCTTAGATATCTTCCTTGTTTGGCATATAATACGCTGTTATATACTAGAGCTCTATAGCTGTATTGATGTGGTATGTATGTTGAGGTTAGCCTATGATCTTAGGTATAATGTTAGGCATGCAAAGGGCATGTGTCCCCAAGAGTGACCTTCAAAATTGCATTGTAGCCTTCCCTGTTTCTGAGGTGAATAAGCAAAGTGTGTTGAGCAGTTGTTGGGGAAATACCCGTCTGTCATCTGGGCTAAGGCTCAGGTAAAGACTATTCTCCCAATGTGTTTGCCTTTGCTTCAGTGAGAATGCTCTGGGTTATTTCACTCGGCCAGGAGGGAACCTTTCATCCCTCTTCATCTTGAGGACCTGGTGTGGATCCTGATCCTAATCCATATGAATGTGGTTCACACCACCAGCCAAGCACCTTCATCCCAAAGACTGCCATCACAGGAGTTTTCAATTTCAAATGTCACACCTTCAACTTGCAGCATTTCAAACCTAGCTTGTGTGAATGGCCAAAAATCATAAAAATATTCCTACAACATAACAAGTTAAGGAGTGATTAAAAGTGATTTTTAATTAGTTAGTGGTGTTTATAAGTAGTTTGTTTTTCACACAACCAGCAAGTAGTTATTGTTTTGAAATTGATATTTGCTGAAAGTTTTGAACACATATCACTTCAGCAAAGTGTATTTCCTGAGGGAGAGACTGCATATACTTGTGAGATAGTTGTAACTATTTCTTCAGGGCCATAAAGGACAGGGAGATAATTGCTACAGGCTTTGCCTGAGGGACCAAGCTGCAGTTGGGGACAGTAAATTTGAGGGATGTTTGTGCAACAGTAAATTGACCCTGGCCTCTTGAAGCAATGGTTTCAAGGTATTTAATCTGTGTGTTCAGGTGGACTGTGTGTCTCTCACTGGAAGAAGCAAGACATGTATGGGCAGCACTGCATAAGCAGTGTTCATTTTGTTCCTATGAGTAAGTAGGAGTGTGTTTCTCTGGAAGAGAAGTTTGTTATGTTTCCTTAAGTTGCCTATTATATGATGCTGTTCCCTAGCATATAATGGAACACCTAAGACAATCCCATCCATTGAAAATTAATGGCACATCTGTCAAATATCAATATTAGCAAGTTTTATTCCATCTAAGTAAGTAGTTTATTTATGTTGGAACCGGCATTTATGTACTAGTACCACATGAAAGGCAATTTCTGATTCTGAGTTGATAATCACGTTTCCTTTTATTTTCAAGTAGGTGCAATTTGTTACTGTCAGTCTTCAGGTCAGTGGTCAATTCTATGCAAGAAAGAGGGGGGAAGTGTAGAAATACCAGCTGCCTCTCCTCTCTGGCGTTCAAAGCCTTTCCTGAAAGACTTTGTAAACCAGAGGGAATGAATTTGTTGCAAATGTGTAATTAAGTTCTTTTTCAGATATATGAGCAGTCACTTAAGTAAAATTATATGACATTTCCTTGATTTATTCTCAATGGACACCATTGTTTGATTTCAGTTATTCATGTCCTTTATTCTAAAGCGATGGAATTCTCAGTTTAGAAGTTGACTACAAATTATTTTTTTTCTTTGTGTTTATATGTACTTTTGCATATATATGCATAGAATGTTTTCTGGGCTTCTCCAAGCACCACAATTGAAATACAAATAAAAATACTGGTCATGAAATTATCTTTGACCATTTTGCATTGTTGACATATATGCATGCTACTCAGGAAAGCTTTGAGGACCACCTCTTATGCAATTTTGGGAGCCATCAAAAAGTATTTAGGAAAAAGTGTAATGTTAAATTCCTTGTAAATATTTATTTTATTTCTATAATCCCATAAAAATATTATTTCAAATGGAACCATTGCTTATCTCTCTCTGGAATTGAGAATTAAGTGACAGCTCTGTTTTATTAGAGATAAGGAACATGCAAAGCCCCATTAATGTCTTCTCTGTGAACCACCAGCTCACATGGTCCTCCTTGTGAAACACACGGTGTTGTTACATTTGCCTTAAAATTTAGGGCTGAGGCACAGGGAATTTTGTATACAGTGCAGTACTGAAGACCCTAGACCTACCACTTTGTCTGGTACATTGGGTATGAAAACTATACTTGAGTTTTTGAAGCCTCCATGTGCTATTTTACATATAATAATATCGAATCCATGAACTTCAGCACAGGAACTGTTGCATGTTCATGTATGGATCCCCCCATATTCAATCTTTGCCCCACACCAGGCCCCACTGTGCTCCGTATCATGTCTCTGTAGTACTGATGTGAGGGCAAGGATGGCAGATCCTTGTCGCTGTGTGTCAGAGATGGTAGTGACAGGCACCCGACAGCAGGATTCAAGTGTTGTCAGCAGAACTGACTGTGCTCAATAGCTGCTCTTGCCCAAAATAATCTCAAAAAGTGTGCTTTCTACTGCCTTTGTCACTGCAGATGTTGCTTTAAGTTCATGTTGGAAGAAGAACAAGAAGGAAAGAAAAGAGGAGAAGGGAAATCCCTGGGGATCTTATAGTCCTGAGTTTGCTGCTGCTCCACCATAGGCAGGGCAGTGAGTCCACTTTGCTTCCAGCGCAGAAGTGCATTTCCACATGTGTCTGCTCCTGCCAGGAAGGACTCTGTGCCAACTGCTGCCCTTGGACCCTCTTCCTTTCCAGAGTCACTGTGTCCAGGTCTGCACACTTGAGTCCTCCGTACTCTCCTCCCCAGGCAGTATAACTGCAGGTTCCATCAAAAGTCCTGTTTAATTACATGTATATTTAATGAATCCCCAGAGAAAAAATATTTCCTTTTTACAAGTTGTGGAGTTAATTGGAAATTATTGTGAAAAGATTTAATTGATGAAAGCTTTATTGTGACCTTAAAATTTTATTTGTCTTGTGCACACATGCTTTATCCCCCTGATGACTAAGGAAACAAATCAAATATTGACTTGTGCATTTCAGTGTATATTTAGGGTAGAGGCAGCTTGATTGTAATTTCTTGAGAATTTCAAATTCTAGAAAACTTTTCATAACAAAGATGTCCTTAAACTATCTATTACTAAACTATGAAGAGTAGGGACATAAATGGACATGAGATATCAGAAAGCTAGGTATGATTTAATTTGCTAAATTTTTTATGGACTGTGAACATAATACTTCTGAAGAAATCTGCAAAGTTACAAGTTAGGAACACAAGTATGGCATGGCTGAGAAACCAGACGTCAGGCAGTGATTTCATCCTCCTGGATCTGTTCCATAGCAACCAAGTGCCCTGGGTCCTCTTCACACTCACCCTGCTTGATTTCCTGGTGGCCCTGTTTGGCAACACCATAATAATCATCCTCATCTGGGCTGACCCTCTTCTCCACACCCCCATGTACTTTCTGCTCAGCCAACTGTCCCTCTTGGATGTCCTCTGTATCTCCGCATTAGTAACCAAAATGGCGGTGGACTTTCTGTCTGGGGATCACCGCATCTCCTTTGTTGGGTGTGGCTTCCAGATGTTCCTCTTCTATTTCCTTGCTGGCTCAGAGTGCCTGCTGCTGGCAGTCATGGCTTATGACCGCTACGTGGCCATTTGCCAGCATCTGCACTATCCCATCCTCATGCGCCCCAAGGTCTGTGTGCTCCTCTTGCTTGTGACCTGGCTGGGTGCTCTGATCAACGCCTTGATGCAAGTGGCCTATAGTCTGTCACTTCCTTACTGTGCCTCCAGGGAAATCCATCATTTCTTCTGTGAGATGCCAGCGCTCCTGAAGGTGGCCAGTGCTGACACTTCCCAATATGAAAAGGGTGCTTATGTCACTGCTGTGATTTTTCACATCCCTCCCATATCTGCGATTGTGGGCTCCTATGGAAGGATACTGTCCACTGTTCTGGGCATGGGATCAGGCCAGGGACTCAGGAAAACTTTGTCTACTTGCTCTTCTCACATGACTGTGGTGTTGCTCTTCTATGGGGCTGCCACTGCCAAGTATATTGTGCCAAAGTCCTATCGCTCCCCCGAGCAGAAAGAAGTGGTCTCTGTGTTCTACACCATCATAACACCCATGCTCAACCCCCTCACCTACAGCCTGCGGAACAAAGACGTGACTAGAGCTTTTAGGAAGGTTTTCAGAGTATGAGGCATTGGAGTTTGCTTGTGTCTACAGTAAACCCATAATAGCATTACCATTTGCTGTAAATGTGAATAGAATATGTATTTATACCTTACTTACATTTAGTATGGAAAACAATTATGTTGAGAAATTGAATTCAAAAACATATATTTTTTTAAACATTTTTTAAGGATTTATTTATTTATTTATACAAGCACTGGGTACAGTCAGAAGCACGGGAGGGTGAGAGAATTCACCAGAGCCAGAGCGGGGAGCAGAGCAGGCAGAAGGACCAAAGTACACTGCTGAGGGGAGCATCGGGTGGCAGGAGATGTCTGCGCGCCATGTGGGACCCTCCTCTGGTGGCCGGGGAGCAGCCAGGAATCAAACCAGCACTGCAGAGGCTGCGGGCAGCTTCGCAACTCAGCGCTCAACCGTTGTGTCACCAGGGAGGCCCAAAAAACATATAATTTTGTACTGAATAAAATGTAGTATTTAAAAAAACATATCATGTAACCTTCTGTAGTCAATGATAACATATATTGGAATCTTGATTACTCATTGGCAGTTGCAATATATTTCTTCTTTGTAATTGTCTTATTTATTGTATTTTCAAAATGCGCATGTTCAGAAACATGAACCGTGATGCCTGTACGCAGTTGCCTGTACTGAGCGTGTAGATGTATCGTCACAGTGATGGATTTTCTAAAGTATTTATTCTTTCTAGATTTATAGACATTTCCCCAATTGATGCTTTCTCTGAAACCTGGCTTGGAAATTTAGAGTGAAACTGTTGCTCTATTATATGTGTTGATGTACATTGTTTAATGTCTGGAATGTTTATTTTCTAGAACTAAACTCTTTGAGCAATAAACTGACACAAAATACCACATGACTTTAGGATGTGACATGTAGACACTCAACTACATGTTGAAACGACCACAGTGCAGTCACCATCCCACCCATGCAGACTTAACTGTTAGGATGTAGCCTCTTGACCTCACCTATTTCACACTCTTCAACCTCCACTTCCATCTGGTCACCTCCCTTTTTCTCTCTGTCTACTATTGTTTTCTTTGTCAGTTTCCTTTAAATGAACTCATGGGTATTTGTCTTTTCCTGTTTACCCAATTCGTTGGCATTTTTCTTTCCAGGCTCACCCCTGCTGTCACATATGATGACACTCAGCTTTTTTAATAAAATGTTTGAAGGTTTTCCACTATATTGCTACCATCCTGCCTACCCTCACACACAAGCGCACACACACACACACACTCACCCCACCCGCTGTCCATTCATGCATCACTGGAATCTTAGTTTAGTCCCCGTGTGGTGATGGTGTCACTGATTCTGGAACCAGCCACCTCAATGGTGGGAGAGGCAGCAGCGGGGCTGGTCTCTCCTCCTGCTGCTCCAGCACAAGCCAGTCCTGGCCGTGGCTCCTCAGGGCCCAGCAACCGCCCTTTTGTGGGAATTTCCTGGCTTGTGGGGTGGGCCAGTCAGGTGTGAGCTGTGAGCTGACTGGTGCTAAATGGTCCAGTAGCCACAGGATCGAAAAATGGTCCAATCAGACTTGTGGGTGGTGCCCCCTGAGAGGACAGAAGCAGGGTTGGCGGGGGCTGTAGTGTGATGGTTCTAGACTGAGGAAAGGAGGACCAGAAGCTGCAGAAGAGAGAAGGAAGAATCCAACAGGGACCCCGGAGGAGGGAAGAGAAGCCGAAGAACTTTGCAGAGAAAAGGCCTCGGGCCTGTGTATCCATGGCCTGAAGGGAGCACCAAAGGCCCGGCTGGGGCTGGTGTGTCAATGAGCTGTTTGTCTTTAGCGTCGTCCAAGCTCTCACAGAGAACTGTAGACACTGGGTGTCTCTGACACCGCCTCTGGGACAGTAGTGACCTTCACTACTGGCCAGCGCCGTCCATCCATCCTGTTGGCCAGTGGTGACCAGCCCTGTTGACCAGTGTGGTCCAGCTCTGATTCCATGTACCTGAAACTCTGCCTGTACTTCTGGAAGGTGCCATCTTCAGGAGGAGGCTCCACTATAGACACAACAAGCTCTTTGTCCCCCTGTTTGTAAGAGAAACCCTGTGGTGATGGTTCCCAGAGCCTGAGGTCTCTTGGAATCGTGCGCACAGGTGAGAACCCATGGTGGCCCGTGTTCTCATGGGACACTGCCCTTTATCGGCTCTAGCCCACAGGCCTCTGTTGCTGGGTGTGTGTTGCTCTTGCCTTTGGTTTTGGCGTTTTTGGGCTCTTTGGTGGCTCCCTTGTCGGGATGCCGGGCAGGTGGGTGGAGGTTCTGGCCCTTCTGGGCTGTCCTATGCACCTGCCCTGTGTGCCCCTGTGTGTGTGGGGATGGGTGTCCTCATGGCTTTATGAATGGGTGCTTTCTCTCTGCCAGATCAATGCCCGAAGGTGGAACTGCTGATATGTAGTGGGTTTCCTCAGTGTTGAGGGGCCTCTGTAGGCTTGTAGTCTCTGCATTCCCATTCTCAGTGCTGGGCCGGGCCCTTCTCTTCTCATCTTGCCAACACATGTTTCTCATCTGTTTGAATCTGTACCCCCTTATCCGCTGTTGTACACCCCAGGAGCACCAGTGGGTGCCTGACACGCAGATGGCACCAAAGCTACACAGACTGTATTTTCTTGTACACATGCATGGCTGTGTTAATATTACTTTATAAATTAGTACATCAGGGCCTCCCTGGTGTTACAAGGGTTAAGCACCGCACTATAAAGCAATCCACAGCCTCTGCATCATGAATTCGATACCCAGCTGGCCAGGGAGAAACCCACATGGTGAGGCAGACCTCTCCTGTTGCACCCACTGCTCCCCTCAGCAGTGTATTTCACTGTCTGCCTATTCTGTTTCCCACTCTGTCTCTGGTGTATCCTCTGACCCCCCTGCATCTCTTGCCTGTACCCCAGCTCTTGTATGCATACATAAATAAATCTTTAAAAAATAAATTAGTACTTTATAAATTAGTAAGAGTTAAATCCTAATGAAATTGAGCAATCACAACTATATAGTATAGCCTCAGCTCATGACAAAGTGTCTTCCTCCAGTTAATACTTCCATTGTGTGATTAGCCTTCTCCTGACAACTGAATAATCCAGCATTGCTGTCTGTGCCTGTGGTCTGCCTGTGTGTCTTCCTCTGAGAGGCTGCTTATCTCCTTTCTTGTCTTGATTGACTTCTCTTCTTTTTGTGTGGTTGCATGAGCTCTTCATAGAGTTGGATGTTAGCCCCCTGTCAGATGTGTGATGTGGAAATCCTTTTCCCACTTGGTAGGGAGCCTTTCATTTTATCGATAGTTTATTTTTTTCTTCTGTCCGGAAGCATTTTAGTAGATGTGATCCCTTTTTAATTATGGTTTTCGTTGCCCTGCCATTTGGATTTGAGCCCAAAACACATCACTAAGGCCTATGACAAGGAGCATATCATCGAGGCAGATTTTGGTTTTTCGTCTTTCAGCAATCTTTAATCCATTTTGAATTCATGTCTGTGTGTTAGGTAGCTGTCTGGGTCGTGTCATGATTTTGGGTGTGGCTGTGCCTTTTCCCAGAACCATTTTTGAAGAGACTCCTCTGCTCCCTTGTTTGCTTTTAACTCTCTGGTCATCAGTTAGTTTTCCTTCTCCTGTGTTTTTATTTTTTTTTTTTTTCTGGTCTCTCAACTCTCTTTTGTTTGTCTGTTTAGCAGCTGCACTATATGTAAAATCTGAAAACAGGAAAAAAGTCAAATATACGTGGACAAAACATGTTACAGTCTTAAAATAGGATGTTATTCAACAGCAAAGGAGAATGGGTCCCAGCTACAGCCAGCTATATTCATGTGAAAAATGTCGAATAGCTCAAATTATTTCTGAGAATGATGGCCTATAGTAAGATGGTTTTTATAAAGTTCAAACAGTAAATGCAAGTAGTTGATAATTTTGTATGATTATATTGGGAGATCTTATAAACATTCCCAGAGAATAACTATCTCAAAATTTAAAATTAATGGAGAGATATGGGGCTAGATATGTAGTTTTTCTAAAGAGACAAAGTTTGGGCCTATCCGGTGGTGCAGCAGTTGAGCGCTGGGCTGCGAAGCTGCGCGCAGCCTCAGCAGCACAGGTTCGGTCCCCGGCTGCCAGGCGAGGATTCTGCATGGTGCACAGACATCTCCTGCCGCCTGCTGCTCCCCTCAGCAGTATACTTTGTCAGTCTGCCTGTTCTGCTCCCCGCTCTGGCTCTGGTGAATTCTCTCACCTTCCCATGCTTCTGACTGTACCCAGTTCTTGTATAAATAAATAAATAAATCTTAAAAAAATTAAAGAGACAAGGTTTTTTTTTAAGATTTATTTATTTATGAACACAAGAGGTGGGGTGTAGGCTAAAGGTGTGGGGGATGAGAGGCTCCACCAGAAACAGAGTGGGGAGCAGAACAGGCCGTTTGACTGATATACACTGCTGAGGGGAGCAGCAGGTAGGCGAACCAGGAGAGGTCTGCTCTGCCGTGTGGGTAGCTTCCTGGCCAGGGAAGGAAGTCATGCTGCAGGGGCTGCAGACAGCTTCATAGTGCTGAGACTTAACCCCTGCACCACCAGGGAGGCCCAGAGACATGATTTGTATTGCATTGGTTCTTGGTGTGGCTGGTTTTCTTGGTAGTTCACATTACATTATAAACCAGTCAGCTAAGTCAAGTAAGACTTTTGTGGACAAATAAATGTACTTGCGTTCAACCACAAATGAAATTTTAGATGCAATTATAAATTGTTATTAAATCTGTTGACATTCATTGCAAAGATATCAAAGAACCTTTGAAAGGTTTCATAGGAAATATATTCTTCCTCCCTCTCTAATGGTCTAGTCACAGTGGTACACCAGAGTTGGTTATTAGCTGGCAGATTATATTCAATTTTGAGTTTCACATCTGATATTTTAACAAGATGTTTAGTAAGTGCTGAGACTTAACCCCTGCACCACCAGGGAGGCCCCTAATGCCGAGTCTCACTGTGATTATGTTGTAGTTTATGTCTGGGTC